CGAGAGAGAGGTGCCGTCGTCGGGGGGTGGTTGGCTCAGCGAACCCCCTCTCGATCGGGAAGCTAAATGAACTCTTCGCGTCCCCTTCTTGCCGGCTTTTGCCCATTCCTTCGACATTCACCATCCCCTTCTGAAGGCGAACCATAGCACAACTCCAGGATGAGCGCCACATGCGCATCGCCTCAGGAAGCCCTTACCAAGCTGCTTTGCAATTTTCAGTCTGTCTGGAAGTCTACTGGTTGCCCTGTACCGAATTTGGCCCGTGCCCTGAGAATCTCGAACAAGTTGAATTGGACCATTGCGACCGTGCCTAGCAGTGAAACCTTGTCGAGAGTGTTCCCCCTCCTATATAAGCGCATCGGGATGAGGGGTATTGATTGCTAATCCAGCAAAGGGTCTATCTACAGACTTCAATAGAGCTTCCCCTATTTGCGAACCAGCTTCCAGAACCGAGCAAAGGACATATTAGCCACGCTGACAATCATCCGTTTGCATGTAATGCATTGTCCTATGCTTCCCTCCATCATAGAATGCCCGCAATCCTTCAATACATCTATATTGTTCCCAATTGGTGACCTCCGTGGTGTTTTCTGTCCTTGTTGGGATGGGGCGGAAGGCGTGAACTGGAACGCAGCTACGTCGATACCATTGCAAATGCTTGTCCGGGACCGAAGTGGTATGGGCAGGATATTCTCGTGAAGACGAAGCAACTGCCCCGTGCCCGCAATATGAACTGCGTAAATCACGGGTCCAAGAGGACCTGTTCCCCCCGGGGGTCGAGGCCTAACTTTTTCACGACTGGTACCGCTGTCGCTGTCGCTGTCGTTGTCATCGCTGGCTGCTTGGTCTTCGCTTTCGCCTTTCCGAGTGCGGGACCAGGATACTGTACATGGTTCCTTCAGAGCTGCGAAAAGCACAATGAAATTGGCTCGGAGACGCTCTACTGCTCGCTCAGCGTCTTCGAAGTACCCTCGAGGTTTGGTGGGGTGGTTTGCGAGACTGAATCCTCCAAGACCATGAGCAAGATCGTTTGCTGTCCGCATAGTGTCCTGCAATTCTTTCCGAATAGTAAGAAACCTCCAGCAGTCGGAACTTCGCCGTGCTGTCAGGTAAACTGCTTGAAGGGCTACTTGATCCTCAGTGTCGAAGTGCTTTGTGGAGGCCCTCAGTACAGAGTGGAAGACCTCAAGGTCTTCACTGGAGCACAACTTGATATCCATGTCGGGGTGACGGACCAAGTACCCAATAAGAAAGATGATGATATTGATGTAATTTGTTTTGTTTAGTCGCATGAAGACTGGCAGCATGCGTTGCAAGATACCACGGATGCTGACTTGATCCCCAGTTCCAAAGATCCCGAGAGCGTCCAACGATAACGGGAGAGCCTCATCGAGCAGCCATCGAAGCGAGACGGAGATCACGCGGGCTGCTGGGTTGTTCCACTGGCTGGACCCTGCCCGCAAAATCTCTGTTCGAGCCTCAGCCCAGCCGCGTAGAATCATCGTCAACAGTGCTACCCGACGCGCTGGCCGCTGTTTGATTGTTGCTAGCTGGATCTTTTCGGCTTCTGGCATGGCAGACTTGATTAAAGGTTGAAAAATGTCAAAGCTAAATCTAAAAACAGCCTCCTGGAGGTTGACGGCAATGTGCAATAAATCCGGCACAGGCGCAAGACGATGTCGGAGAGGATGAGTGCCGACAGAGTCGTAAAGCGCTGTCAGTGACCACTTCCAAACATAAAAGTCGCCCGCAATGAGAACAGTTGTATGATCAGGGACGTGCTTTTCAAAAAACTCCGCCAGGGTCTGAAAGACAACAGTGTAATCTGCTCGGCTTTTCATTTTGTTACTAAAGCAGTTGATCATCACAAAGTTTGTCAACGCGGCTGACTTGGACGCAGTGGCGTAGTTGTAGCCCTGCTGTTGTGCGGGATTCACTCCCCGAGCATCAATGTACGATACAAGCTCTGAGCGAGTGCGAGGAAATATTTCCTGTTCGATCCAAGTCAAATCGTCGCAGTGTGGGATGATGAAGGTGTCCGCATCGGCTGTGAGTGCTTGTCGCTCAGGAAACACTTTCACCGCCACATTTGCAACAGTGTGCGCCTGGCTAAATTTTGGGGAGTTCGCAGCAATGGGCATGGCCCGGATACTGGTCCAATTGAAATCATCAATCTTCATGACAATCTGACAACCAAGCGCAAGGTCACGATGTAGCTTTGCATGCTCAGCCATAATTTCTTTGTTTTTATGGGCTGCCATGTTTGAGGGATGGTAGCAAACGTTGAAAGCGGAAAACTGCTTCCGAACATTGTCCGTTGTTGCCGCCAATATCGGGGTGAAATAATCTTTCACTGCATGGATTTTGAGCGGGAACCGGATCGCTGCATCATGTAGAATGCTGAGGACCAGCTGAGGTCGCACTCGGATGGATACCAACTCCGAGGTGTCCCAGTGCGTCCCAGGGATCTTCCCGAAGATCTGCTCGACCTTTCGCCCAAATGCTCCAGCACAGTGCTCTTCAAGGTAATGGATGTACGCACACCAATCAACCAGCGGGGATCCTTCAAAAGGTTCGTGCGGATATGCAATCAGTTGCAGGCACTCCTCATATTTCATATTATCAAGAGGCGAAACATTTTCTTTATTGCTTGCTCGGTCCATCTGAACGACCTCGAAGGTTTCGGAATGGGCGTCAACAACAACGAGGGCCAGATTTTCCTGCTCCAGCACATCACTCTCCTCGGCAAGATTGTCAACAGCAATGAAGCCTGCTCGCCTCCAATTGGTATAGCATTCCAGGCAGATCCGTTGAACGAATCGCATGCGAGTGGGAACTTCTCGTGGCCGGAAGCAAGCAACCCCGATCTCAAACAATCGGCTCTTTGTTGCAGCGGAAAGGTAATAGAATGTTGGGCTTGTATGAGTGGTACAGGTTGCGCATCCCGCAGGACAATAAAATGGCCCATGTACGCCATTCCTTCGCCGCACCCGCCAGGCTTGTGGTTCCCCTTGTCCTTCGAGCTTTCTTTTGAAGGTCATGGTTGGCTTTGCTGAAAATCCAGAGGGGCAGATGGTTTAACAATGCTCAATTCTAGTAGAGATATGACGCTTAGAAGGATCCGCTGCGAGGCAACCGTGGAAATGTGGGATGCGCGCCGTCCATACATGTTCCGGCTGAGTGAGCAGCGTACAAAATTGTCAATATCTCCGTCGATACTGATTGGAATTAGCTGATCTTTGGATATGTGGTAAAGGAGAGTCTCGCAAGTATGGCGACGTATTACCCCTGAGGTAGAAAAAGGTTTGGGTAGTTGGAAATGCGATGAGATGCTACGAAGGTGGTCGAGGTGAAGCGCGCGTCGACGAGGAGTTTATTTAGCTTCCCGATCGAGAGGGGGTTCGCTGAGGTGGTTGGCGACGGCTACACACCACAGCTCTTCCTCCTTGCAAATGTCGTTACGAGGGCACTCTAACCCGTGACACAGATGCCGGCACGTTCCCCCGAGACGAGCGACATTTCCATGGTCGTCAGGTTCGGAGAGTTGCCTTTCCCTGCCGGAGTGTGTCCCATCCGTCCGTATGGCAGGAGCAGCTCTGAGAACGTGGGAACCGCGAAGGGAAGGCCACATCTTGGCGAACCTACAGCTTCTGCGAACAGACTCTTCCAGGCACGGCCGCAAGAAACGTCAGATCGCAGGCAAAGATGAAGGAGTACCGGCGATACTCTTTTGGCGCCAGTAGAATCTAGGTCGCGGTGCCTATGGAGGGCGGTGGTCGATACGTCTCTTTCCTGCAAGCCTTGTCGGTTGACGATACAGCACATTTCGTCGGTTCCGTGACGCCTGCTCCTCGCTTCTCTACGGTTGCAGCGAAAGTCAATCCAATGACAAGTCTCGGGGACCCGCACCAACGGCAGTATATTGGCCCTGTCGTAGCACGAGAAATATACTCTCCGAACACAGCGAGGAGCTACGACACCGATCTGGCTGCCAGCGACACCTTGTTCACCCTCATTCACTACCACACTGCCCAGACACCAGCCCGTTCCTCTCCTCCCCCGCCCCCTTCCGCTTCCGCCAAGAGTACATGTACTGTACATGACTCAACCAAGATCTCAACTTCGCTTCGTTATTTGCTTTCCCACGCTCGCATTCCTCGACCTATCGCCTTGGAAGTATGGCTCTGGAAGTATTGGCCCTTATAGCAAAGCGGTCAATGCGTCTCCCTTGTAAGGAGAAGGTCCCAGGTTCAAATCCTGGTGAGGGTACAATTCCTTTTGATGGTTTTGACAAGCCTGTCACGTGGTCCATGGTCTTGCTTCATACATGTAAGAGTGTTCTTGGCAATCGCCTCGCAAGATTCTCCTCTGAAGTCATCTAAACGTGTACGGCGACCCGAGAGACGAGGACTTCTTGGTCGGTCTGTCGAACGTCCCCCAGTCGGGCCAGTCCCCAGTAAAACCGCGCTGTGTGCAATGACGGGCTTTGCGTAGCGCCCATCGCACGGATGTCGCTCGCACTATGACGGGGTGTCAGAATTTGAGGATGTGACACTGAACACTGAACAATCCCGCGTGCAATCTCCCAGCCATATCGAGCCCTGGGTGGCTCTCTTCCCAGCCAATCAGAGCAGCGTCACGGCCAGTCAGGGGAAGGGACAACCCAAGGTCCTCTGGCCGAGTGTTCAATAATGCTAGGCGTTGAGTAATTACCATTTGCCGTTTACCGGATGACCAAAGTAAGTGTAGAGTAGCGCTAACTACCCCGGAGGTATTCTGCCTCTGCCTCT